CCTCATCGCAGAGTAGTCTTAAAAAACAATTTAAATTCAATTTTAACATTTTGATCAGCTATGACTTTTTCCCTTTAGGCGGGTAGTCTTATTATTAAAAATAAAAACAATATGCCTAACCAATTAGATAGTCTCTTGACTTTGATAATTAAACCACTCATAATCCATCCATTCAGGCGTAAATGTTTGGAAAAAGTATATCATGTCACTTTATATGATAGTTGAAAAGTATAATGCTCCTTATAACATACGGAGTACTTACTACCTCCGTCCCTCTAAGTTTGAGACAAGAGAAGGTGACACGGTTATTAATAAAAGTGAGTTTATGTGGTTAATATGAAATTGATAAAGTAAGAATAAAATAGGAATGATAATCTGGAACCACAAAAATTTTACCAAATAAGGTATGAGATAATCTTAGTGGGACAGACCGAAAAAGGTAAAATTGGACAATCATAACGGGACAGAAGGAATAATATTTTTGAAATAATCATGAGACCGTTAACATTTTTAATCGGGGCACTTAAATTCTCTTTATTAGAGCATCTGTAATGGTACAATGTGCTCGGTGCACTCGTGGCATGAGAGATAGACACATAAATATTAGTAAATAAATTCTTTCTCTCCTTATTTGAATGATTTTATATTGTTTTAATAATTTTTTCTCCACAATGTCAAGGAGACCGTCTACATATAGACATGGAAAAATTGAAAATAATAATCCCAACTATTGCCGGTCCGCCGATAATAATCCCAACTATTGATTATTTTTGTATAATCCCAACTATATGGACCGTCCGCCAATAATGGTCCGTGACCAAATATTACCTCCTATAAAAAGTGAATTTTAAATAGAAATTAAGCGTAAAAATTAAAAGTTGGGATTATTTATAGGGATTACTTGTTATATCTCTTGTCATCCACTTTAGAAACTGCAACAATTTATTGATAGGGACCATTATTGGCGGAAGGTCCCTAAAGTTGGGATTATTCTGAAATAATCGATAGTTGGGATTATTATAGGCGGACCGCCAATAGTTGGGATTATTACTATCAATTTTTCCTATAGACATAGACATTGTTGTTGACATTGTAGAGAAAAACTTACCAAAATTGTATAAAATCATTCATATAAGAAAAGAGATAATTTATTGACTAATATTTATGTGGCTGTTACTTATGCCACGTGTGCACCATGGACATTAGAGCATTGGAGATTTTCTTAGTACATTGTTTTACAACTTTACAACTATGCATTTTAGTCATTAAATGAAATACATCCAAATATGGAAGTTGTTCTTATTTAAACATTCTCTGGCACATATTTTACTTAATTGATGTCATAGGGCACTTTCGAACAAGAGCTCCGTAGAGTGACGCCGGTTCCACACTACTCCCTCCGTCCCTTAAAACTTTGCCATCTTTGAATTTTTTGGTCAACCATGTTCAACTTTGACCAATTATATATCTTTGTAGAAAATTAGTTATGATATAAAAATTATGTGAAAACGTTCTTTGTTAAAAGTACTTTCATAAAAGTATAAAACTTACCACTTTCATAATATTATACTAATCAAAATTATGTTCCAAACTTTACCACCATTGACTTGAAAAGTCAAAGATGGCAAAGTTTTTAGGGACGGAGGTAGTAATAACTAAAGAAGGGTATGGCTTAACGGGGGCGGAGCCAGTGGTCAACCGACCCCGCTGCAAGTTTGAGAGCATAGATCTCTGAAATATTTTCGGTTTAAAGCCCTCGTACCTCATTACGAGTAAAAAAGTTATGACTTTTGCAAAATCAGCACTATCTAAGTATCTAAACGTAAAATCAGCAAAATTTGAAGCATACTATAGATTATTGTCTCAAATACTTATGTGACACGACTCAGAAACAGAGCAAAAACTATCTATCTTATAGTTATGAGTGCCTATTATCTAAACTGCATATGAAATATTCAAATCAGACATTATTTAAAAATGATCCACTATTTTCATTCTATATATAGGTTGAGTTTTGACCCCCTAGCCATTTTTCTAGCTCCGCCATTCTATGGCTAAGGGGTAGTTTCCCCTGAAATATGAATCTTCTCTGCACCGTGCCCCCTTATTCCGGTATAAGTAAATTGATCTATTACTTTGTTTTAATGATTATGAGCCCATTTGGTGACCAAACACGTATGGTCATAGGGCTTATCAGCCAGTTTTTTCACCAAACACGTAACTTTTAATTTCGCGCGCAGAATTTTGTAATAAGGAGAAAAGGTAAGATTGAAGTTACTTTTCTGTCTGTATTGGCTGAAGTTACTGTAGAAAATCATTATAGCTATTTTCATATAATTTTTTAATTAATTTATTAATAACAAATATTTTAAATATTCTTTTTTCATGAATCAACAGAAACAACCAATACAGCCACTTTAGCCAAAATTTCATAAATTTCAGCAGAATCAGTCAAAACAGCCAATTTTAGTGTTACCAAACGAGCTCTATTTTTGAAATTTCACTCAATACACCCTAATAATTCCTAGGCACCTGATGGATTGTGTACCCGGGGATAGCTTATCCGAGGGGTTATTGCGGAAATAACTTAGAGAGAAGTCAGAGCAAACAAGTAAGAGAGAGAGACTCAGATGTTATTAATGAACTTCTGATTTGGGATTCTTTACAAGATGAATAACCGAATAAGGGCTGCTATTTATAGCAGCCATTAATGCGATGAGAATACACGTGTCAACAATCTGACGGCCGAGGGTCACCTCAATCGGGGTGGCAAAGGCAATGACATGTGCACCGCAATAAATGCGGTGGTTGGACGTGACGCCGCATTGAATGCGGTGGTTGCTTGTCTCCAGAGGAAGCTTCGTAGAGCGTACACCCTTCAGCCATAGGCATATGGCCAAAGGATGAAGGGTAGCCAAATGCAACAAGTATACCGAGGGCACCCAGTAGCCGAGGGCTACTGTTTTTCTGCTGTTTTCTCCTAGTAGCTTCGTATGCTCAAATCTGGCTGACCCGTGGAATTTGGAGCCCTCAGCCAAGTGGGCCAAAGGCACCTACATGGATACTGTGTGCTTCTTGACACTTGGGCCACTGTGTTTGGACCTCGTGTGCTCATTGGGCCTGTGTAGGAGAAGTAGGAGTCTGTGGGCCGGGGTCCTCGGGCCATATACTCAGGGACGGAGCTAGGCTTTGAGGTATGGGGTCAATTGACCCCACTCAAAAAAAAAATCATTAGTAGGTATATAAAATTTTTCAAAAATTTAAAATTGACACCACTGAAAAAAAAGAAAATCATTAGTAGGTATATAAAAAAAATTAAATTTTAAAATTGACACCACTCAAAAATAAAAGTTCTTTGTATAGGTGTATATAATGTTTCATAAATTATAAATTGTGTAGCTTGTCTTAGTCCTAAAGAGTCTTTTTCATCTTTTGACAAGGACAAGTTGACTCACATGGCTCAACTATATCCTTCTGACTTTTCACCGGTAGATGTTCTTGCTCTTGACAATCAACTTGAAACTTTTATCCTTGATGTGCGCTCCAACTCTGTATTTATGGATATTACAGAAGTTGGTTCTCTTGCTGAAAAAATGGTGGAGACAAAGAAATATATTGTGTATCCATTAGTTTTCTTACTTGTGCAATTAGCTTTGATTTTACTAGTGGCGACCACAACTGTGGAAAGAGCTTTCTCAGCCATGAAGATCGTGAAGAACAGGTTGCGTAATCGAATGGGGAATGCTTTGATAAATGATGCCTTAGTCACTTTTATTGAAAAAGATATATTCAAAAGTGTTGACAAAGAAAACATTGTACAACGTTTTCAAAATATGAAAACGCGCCGTGGACAGTTGTGAATTAGTACTTTAATTTATTAATGACAATATTTGCTATATATTTTTTGCTTCATATGTGTATATTGATTATTACTCCCTCCGTCCCTAATAAAACTTCCAAATAGGTTTGACACACAGTTTAAGATAATGGATATTGTGTGGTGGAGAGAATTGTGCAGAGGAGAGAGAAAAATGTGTAAGAATTGCTGTGAATCACAAATTCTGGATTTTTCCAGATTAGGTATATAGACTGTAGTGTGAAACAAGGAGCTCTTAATCAACGTTGGCCAAATAACAGTTGTCTTAGACTCTTAGTTGTGATTTGTATAAATCCTTAAACTCATTGAGCACGTACATATTTTACCCATTTATTTGGGTTTCATATACATTACCACTTGTGAAAAGGTGATGTGTCATGTTATCATGTAAACTAGGACGGTAGGACCTGATTGTTTAAAAAGTTCCCCCAACAATATTGTAAGTGTTAAAGTTAGGGAGTTTTGCTTTTGTTTAATTTGGAAGCACAGTTGGCCCAATTTTTTAACTGAATCAATTGCCTGCATTCAAATAATATTGGTCAATGACTTCTGTTTTGTAAAAATTTACACTATCATGGTAAATTTAAAGTACGGTAGCCCTTGGTTGAACTTTTATACGTACGAAGATGGTAGATGACTAGATGGTAGGCTTATTGCTTTGGTCTGCCAATAAGACATTTGAAAATAACCATAAAAATCCAATCATTATGATTTCATTTGGGCAAACTTGATTATCATATCATTTTTGTTTTTCGAAATTATTGATATATGTATCTGATATTTTTTACTCCTTTTCACCCTCAACAAAAAAGATATACCAAACATTATGTAGTAGTTATAGTGCAAATGATCTCAATTTTGGGATAGGGAAAGGGTAGTAAACTTCCATAGAGGAATTGTGCATACCAAACATTATATAAAAAGCTACTAAGTGCTTATCATTAATAAGTTTTAAGGCAAATAATTACATTCAAATATTTTGTATGTGTTCAAAATGAATAATGAAAGTAGGAAACTATGTGCTCCTATGTCTTTTTTTAATCTTTAGAAAACACATTCTACACACTTTTGCAGATTTGTGCACGTACATAGAAACAGCCATACCAAAGAAAAACCATGTTATGGGAAAGTGCACCACATTCTCAACTGGTTTAGAGATCCAACATGAATAGGAAATTGTGAAGAACTCTACCAAGAAAATGCTAGCTTCCCAAATCTGGTGTAAAGTGTGGAGCGCTACCAAGGGATAAGCCATACCAATAATCATGCTCACTGAGGTAACCACACCAATCATGCCCAGTGTGGAAGCCACAGTAGAAAGAGTTTTGGCAGGCACACCTTTTTTGATAATAAGTGCGGCAATGTTGCAAGCCATCTCGATAGTAGCCATGATGAAAAAGAGGAGTTGTAATCTAAATGGGAACTCTTTCTTTTCTTCTCCAACAATTTTGTTGTCATGAGCTTCTTCTCCTTCTCCGATGTCAATACGATGTTCCGCTGCTTCCTCTTCCCTTTCCTCTTCCACTTCTTCAATCTCATTAGTAGCCCCCCTCGTCTCCTCCACCTCCTCACTCTCTTCCCTTTCTTCTTCCACTTCTTCAATCTCATTAGTAGCCCCCCTCGTCTCCTCCACCACCTCACGTTGCACAATGTCTTCTTCAAAGACTAGCCCCAATAGCACTAATTTATGGAAACAGTTTTCAAATTAATTATTAACAAATGTAAGTAATGAAGTATACACCTAGAGTGGAAAAATAAATCTGCTCCCCAATTATGATAAAAAATCTTGCCCAAAAGTGCTTTAAGGAAAAAATAATTATATTGTGAAAATTTAAGAAACTTGTGACTACAAACTTGTGTGAGAAAGACGCAATAAAAGTATAATTTGGGTTATACAGGATAATAATATTAAAGTCCACTCCAAAAAAAGTAACCAATAAAGCACCTCTTGCCCCTAAAACATGTATGCATCAATTCTAAATTGACATGCTAATTTTGACTCAAAGTATATTCACGAATATAATGAATGATGCAATAAGATGGTCCATCTTTCATTAAATGAAACATTTATGGATGTGACTTGAATACTAAGCTAGTTGAACGAGTGCCTTTCCAAAATATTTTTACTTAGAACTCGAATGACAATTCAAGACACAGACATTTTCAATTAAAGCACAAAGATTTTGGTAAAACAAAAAGGATGCTCCTAGAATGAGGGAGAAGGAGATGATTTAGGTAATATTCAGCTAAAATTGGTTGGGATTTTGTCTTATTTAAAGTGTTTACCAGCTAAGACCCAAGAGCATTAGATTTTGTCTTATCCCATGAAGAGATCTGGTCTCTGTACAGAAGGCAGGGTAGGCCGGAAGGGCTGGTGTTGGCCTGTTGGGTGAAAAGCGAGTTATCAGCCTGATTAAATGAGTTGCCAACTCACCCAGCAAATTCATGATTGGGACTGGGCCGCTTATCACTATCGGTCTTTGATGGTCCACTAAGCTACTGGGTTGATCCCCCAGCCCAAAGGGTTGAGTGTTTAACTCTATTAAGCAATGCATTATTTACCATCAAACGTACAATTCCATTTAAGCTTTATCTAATATGCACAATGCATAAACAAGTAATAAACACACGTCTTGAAATCAGTTGAATACGTGTCCCTACTGTCCAAGCTCATTGAGTGGTATGATTTTCCCGAGCTAGGATATGATTATGCAAGCTATTTTTGCAACAATTGATATATTTTCAAGAGATCAAAACGAAAGAGATCAAAACTAAAAAGAAATTATTATATATAATGAGCAAACCAAATGTGGCATTCTAAGTTCAATTTTTATACTCAAATAGCCATGAGAGTAATTTTGTAAATAAACTTCATTTCACTCTTATATTTGAAAAAATTCAATTTAAAAACATCTATTGTGCATTTACACCATTTAGGGATGTTTGCAATTGCTTTTGCTTAAAAAAAGCACTTTTTAAAGGGATTTAGGGAAAAGTGTTTAATCGTAAGAGTTTAATAGCAAAATTCATAAAAATGGAGCATATGTAAATGCACACATACACACACCAAAGATCTCTATTTTATTAAATCAACCAACCTTTTTCAACCTGCTCCTCCATGTGTGCTCGCAAGTATGTGTCCAAAAGATCTTTGGTGAGCTCCACATACAACTCTTAAATGATACAAAATATTGGAAGCACAATTAGTTTTTAGACAAGATTTTTAACCTATACTCCGTATATCATTTCATCCGTTCAACAATGAACTTGGGTAAAAGAGAATTAGTTATAATACTCCATATTATTTTAGATTATCATACATACATACATATATATGGACTTGTATGCCGGTTTTTGAACCGGAACCATAACCGGAATCGCATAGTTCAGTTCGGAACTGGAGGTTCACTAAACCAGGTGCACTAAACCAGTTCGGTTTCCCCAAAATGTGGAATCCGAACAGGGTTTTGCAACCTCCTTTTTAATTAAATATTCAATTATAATATTATTTATAATGCTAAAAAAGATAAAATCAATATTAATATTATTAGTAATAGAATTAACAATATAAGAGTTACTAGTTACTACTCCTTAATTATTACTATACTAGCAATAAGTATCCATTATTTATTAATGATTAAACTATTTTAGAATAATAGAATTTAAAATAGTATGATTTTACAATCGAATTTATAACCATGTAGTTATTATAAATGAGTGATATTTATTCTTTTGGTTACTTTTTTATTAATATATTTAAAAATACTAAACTTAAAATTTTAAAAATAAAAAAATTAAAAATGGAACCGGAAACCGCGCCGGAACCCAACCGGTTTGGAACCAAAACCACCGGTTCGGATTCCACATTTTAAAAAAATTGGAACCCAACCGGCGATTCGGTGCGTGTTCTTGTTCAGTTCCGAACCAGGGACAAGTCTACATATGTGTGTGTGTGGTGTGTGTGTACATGAAACATATATATACACACATAAATGAAAGAAAATAATGTTCAGCCGTCCGATCATGACCCCCTCCCCCGTCTGGTCGCCGCCGTTTGAGGTAGTTCCTAGAAGATGTTTTTGATAAAAAATTTGTGAGCATGTTATTAATGTTTTTTAGATTATGTCAACAAAATTTCAGCTTAAAATATCAAACAGAAGGCCATGTTTATGAATAATTTATTCAACAACCTCAAAAAAATGCTCACAAAATTTGATTAAATAAACTCTGCCGGAAACCATCTCAAATAGCGGCGGCCGAATAGAGGGTTTTTTATCTCTCCGATTGAACAATATCATTCCTCAGGATATGACTATAAATAAAATTTAGGTTGAATTAGAGTTTGCACCCCGCTTTATTGTTCAAATTGGTTTTTGCACCCCGTTTTTTAAAAACTTTGTAATTGCAATTCAACCCGTATGGAAAGACAAAATGCCCCTCCATTAACAATTATGTTGGTCTTCAACATATTCCTAATGAGTGCATTTTGTGTTTTCATATGGGGTTATGGTGCATATACAAAGTTATTTGAACAATAAAATGGAATAGTAATTCCCCTAAAATTAAATAAATACGGATTGTAAAAGAAATTGTTGCTTGGTCACCTTTGTCATATTCAAGAGATTCCATTTTCCCAAGTATAAATCAGTTCAAGGAAGACCTGTGAGATGCAACAGAAATTGAATAATGATAAAAACAGGGTAAAGTCATTAACAAAAAGTAGAAGGGATAAATAACAATAAACCCCCAAAACTTACGTAGTATAAAGCTAGCAAGCCGCATGAACTATTTCTTTAAGTGTATAACATTTCAATTAATATATAGTTGAATTATATCAAATAATTTAGGTCAGATTTCATAAATTTCAGCAAGGCTTGCGAGATTATGGTGAGAATGCTCGATCAAAACATTATGCCTCCAGTCTGTCTCGGAGTACAACAACCCCAGCTAGAGAACATTTGCAGAAGCTCGATCTTACTATATATCGCCGATCCTATACTACTGGAGATCGAGAAGGAGAAGCCCATTGAAGATACATACGAAGTATAACCATTAGAAATTAAAGCTTCCGACACAGAACCGGGCCCGGATTCACCACATGCCTCTTACAACACGGAGAAACGGAACCCACTTAGGTTCGACCCGAATTCCGTCCGGCCCCTCTGGACCCGGCTCACCGCGACTCTCTTCCCCGAGCACCAGAATCTCCTGCCTCGACTTTGCCCCATCATTGCCGCGGTTGACTGAACGTCAACGTCAAACGCCGGAGTTCGAGCCACGGCCAATCCGTCAAGCGCGAAAGTATAGGTTTTGAAAAAAAAGAAAAAGGAAGTGGACTAAACAGACGGGAAGCTGGCCATTACATCATTAGGGCTGAGGACAAATTAAAGGGAAGATATGTGTTTTTCCATTTAATTTGATAACCTTAATTACTCAGTACGTATTTAATGTTAATTACAAATTAAAAGGAAGATATATATTGTAATAATACCTGCAGCAATGATGATACCGGTCTCAGCTCAAGATGATGAAATGTATGCTTGAGAGAGAAGCAGACGAGAAGTGAAATATCTCGTGGCCTTAAAACCTAAGGGAAGAGGCTGGCCAAGAGGGACCACATATTATCTGAAAACAAAAAAAGAAAACTGCAGCTTCGCTGCGTACCAAAAGAACAAAAAAACAAGAGAAAAGATAATGGGATCTCAATGGACAGCTGCGGTAGATGGAAAAGAAGAAAAAGCAAAATTAAGGAGATAGAGAGCAGCTATGGAAGAAAAACACCTGGGATTAAACAAAAATACATGTTCATTATCATTGGTCATTTTTCAATCTTAATTTTAAGGTTTTGTTGTAAATTATTTCTTCAAATTCATAGATCATGTAGGACTGGGAGCTAAGGAGGTGTATCGATGTAATGTCAATTGATGGAGCGAGCTAAGTACGTGTAAATGTGTAGTTATAGAGGTATATTTCTAAAGAGATCAGTTTTGACACCACTTATAAAATAAAATGATTGTCCAAATACAACTATTAAGGATTACAAAATTATTGTAGATTTTTAAAATGTGTATCGAACTATTTATCAAATTGAAAACGAAATTATTTAACAAAATCTCAATGTTAATAATTACTCACTAGCTCTATCCCTATTTAAAATTCTCACTTTGACATGTACTCATATTAAGGAAATTGATTTTTAAGGGTTAAATTTTATTGTAGATTACATTTGACACGTACTATTTTGTACCTGTTTTACACTGTGTCGTCATATTATTTAAGTGTTTACCGCGTTTACCAAATAAGGAAATAGTACATTCGATCTTTTGAGACATTCAAAATAGGAAAGTGAAAACTTTATTGGATTATTAACTAAACATATGCCCAAGTATCATCAAATTCACAAATCTATCTTATACTTTCACTTTTATTAAAAAAAAGACCCAAACTCTAACTTCTCTCACAATTACACATTGAATGGATGAATTAGTAAAAATTAAGAAGAAAATTATATTTATATTTCATGTTTTTCACTTCTTTTTAGTTTTAAGTTTACAAACTTGTATTACTTATATCTTATTGGTATTGATAAAAATGTGTAATTTTGTAAAAACAAAAAAACAAAAAATAATTGTTGAAAAAGATGAGGTTTGAGTATTTTTTTTGATAAATGTGAAAGTATAGGATAAATTTGGGAATTTGGTGATAGTTTGGGATAAAATAAGCTAATAATTCAAGTATATTAAGGAATCGATGGAGTATTAAGTAGAGTAAATGCTCTATATATGAACTAGGATTGGAATTGAAGTAAGTGAAAAGTCCATAGAAGTAAATGAAAATGATGCTACCTTATCCCTAAAAGCCTCGAGCAGTGACTAGACATTTAACTGTGAAACTATATTATACTCCCTATATATGGTTATATATAGAGAAATGTTGTTTGTACACAACAAATTGTACACAACATTTTACACAACGGTCAAATTGTCTGTATACAAATAATATTTTTTCATTTTGTGGAAGAATCATTTTTCACACCAACAATTTCAATTGTTTGTGACAAACAATTTTTTAGTCGGTGTGAAAAACGGTTCTTTTCACAAAACAAAAAAATGACGTGTAAAATAATGTGTACAATATACGCTGTACACAGAATTTATATGAAATTTTATTTGTTAAAAGTATTTTAAAAAATATATAAAATTATACAAAGTACATTTCGCATTAATGTAATAATTAAAATCATTGTCCTTATTAAAAAAGTTAAATAGACCAAATTTAATTATGAGACGGAGGGGTATTATATATAAAGTATTGACACTAGTGTAATGCATGTGTTTGTGGATTTGTCCCTGGCCTGCATGGATGAATAAATAAGCCTTACACTTTTTTCTTTGATTATTTCTAATTTTCAATCTCTCGTGATTGTTCTTGAATTGTAGTTAACTCCAAATTTCTTTTTCAACCATCTCCGTGAATTGCCATAGATAGTTTAATTAGTTGTATTTCATCATCATGTTAAGCTAAATCAATCCATCTCAACGGAATTTGGGTTAATTAAGTAAAATTAAATTAAAAAATGTTCATGAATATTGAATTCTGTTTGAGAAACTATTCCAATTTTTAGGTAATACATGGCATAAAATAATAAATAACACTTTTAGTATGTCACATTGGCTTTGCATATATGGAAGTCACCGTTGCAAGAATTTGGGGAAGAGACGAAGAGTATACTACGCATATGTAATGAGTACTACTGATGGGAGAATATATGATTCTCAGGTTGATAGTGAAAAGTGGTGCACCACATACGAATACAGCCATACATGCCAAATAACATGTAATACTACGTGTCTACGTACAACCTTAATTAAGCAAAGCAGAGAACCGGGAATAGAGATATCTGCAGGGATACAGCTAGCGGACTGAAAGAAAAAGCCAGCAAAAGATTGAAAAGAACAAGAAGAAGAAAAGGGGATAGGGAGCATCTAGCCTCTGGACGAAAAACACCTGCGATAAAACAAAGAAAAACACCTGGGATAAAACAAAAATCCATGCTCATCATCCTTGGTCAATCTTTTAATCTTATAAGTTACCGGTATAAAATAGGAAAAATTGATAGTAGTAATCTCAACTATTGTCTATTGATGGTTCGTTCATAATAATCTCAACTATC